TCCTCCCTGATCCTAAAATCCAGGCTTATTATGCCACAAGAGGGAGTATTCCTCTTTATCAGGCGGAGAAGAAGCTGCCATGGGGAATGTGCAGCAGAGCCTGTAAGGTGGTAGGGAGATATGTCAATGAACTAATGAGGCCTTCGTTCTCTGATAGATGATTGCGGCTTCCAGTCCCTTAAGCTATTATCTCGATTACAGTCGTACAGTGTGGGGTCTGAAAACAGACAGATTACCTACCCTGATCACACTCCAGAGGGGCGGGGACTATTTTTCTTTTGTTTGTTTGTTTTGTTTTAAACGTGTTCTCATGTAGCTCAGGTTGACCTTGAACTCATTACGTAACCAAGGATGATCTTGAACTCCTGACCCTTCTGCCTCAGTCTCACAAGAGCTGGGATGACTAGTGTGCATCACCAAGCCTGACTTTGGAGGCTGATCTTCTGACTTACTAACTCAGTAGCATGAATGAATCCCTCCATATCCACAACACCCAGGGTTTCTTGCTTTGATGTCTCAAGTTGGAAAGCATTGATTTTTTTTCATTAAAAACAATTTATCTGACCAGTGACACCACATGTGTTTTTTTTGAATTATTAATTATTGTTTACAGCTAGGCTCTTTTACATATAAACTAGGGAGAAAAATGAAAGTGTATTCTCCATTTATTTAGTGGTAAATTAGACTTAGAGCCTTAGGTATAATTTTATGTTTCCTACTTTTCCTTGAAGATTATGATTTTTACAACCCTGGTAAGAAAGGCAAACAAAGCCTCACAGTGTGATCAAAGAGAATCTGGTCTTGCGTCACTTACTAGGCGACAAGACCAAGGGTGGGTATGTGTCCCAGGAAAGAGCAGTTGTAAAGTCAGGAAATGGCCCCCATCAAAAGGCATCGGACATAGAAACAGAAGCAGAGGGGGGAGAAAATACAAGCTACACGTCTGCCAGGGGCCCCGAGCCCTTGCCAAGGCTGTCTTCCTCAGAACAGAGCCTCTGCTCATCACCCCCGTGGCATCACCTCCTCCACGGACACTTATGACCCTTCCTGACCCTCTTCTTTGATCCTTTCAGAAACCCTCCAGCATTTACACCTGACTCATGCAACCCTCTTTTCTCTGTGTATGCACGTGTGTGGGGCCATTTCAGGCGCTGTCCACTTCATCCTTTTTGAAGGTGCCTCTCATTGACTCGGAACTTGTAAATGAGGCCAGGCTGGCTCGTGAGAGGTCCTGAGGGGTCTGCCTGTGTCACCTCCCCAAGCTGGGATTGCAAGTGTGCGCTATCACGCCCAGCCTTTCTAAGCTGGGTTGTGGTGATCAAATTCAAGCACTGGCTGAGCTGTCTTCCACTCCCCACCCATCCTCGTTCCTTGTTACACACAAGCCTGGTGGGCTCCTTCCTCCAACAGCAACCTTGTGGATTGTTCACAGGGTACCAGATACTCAGTAAGCATTTAAGAAATGCTGGTTGAACAACATCCTGAATTCTGTCCTCTTTGGGCAAAACATGCTAGACTTAAAGAAAATATTTATTTGAAAGGAAAGCTCCTCAAGGTTCCAAAACTTGCTTTGTACTGTACCAAATCTGTGGTTTTCCCCCTCACCCGTAGGCTACAGTTTGGGGAGGAAAGAGTGTCTAGCTAGACAACACAACTGAGGTGTGTTGGAAACGCTGGGGAAGGGGACTGAATGCCGGCGCTTTCTATAGCCGGGCAACTCTGCCAAGTTCACCCTGAGTGTAGACTCTTTTAGTGCCAAGTGGGAAAAAAAAATCTCTGTCCTGTAAAACTGCATGGAATTTCTGCTTCTAGCCAGGGCACTGGTTATTCACGGTGGCTCTTGAAATGTTGGGATACACTTGTCCAAATGGGCACCAAATAAAGTGAGAAAAATCTTAGCTTCATATTTTAAAATGAGTTTTGCTTCCAGGTGACGGGCTGGGCAGGCTGTGACAGGCACGGGCAGGGCTAACCCTTTGCTCAGGCCCCAGGGACCATTCTGATGTAAAAACCACGTCCTCCAGACAAGCACTAGCCTGAGACTTCGTCAGCCCTAGATGACCATGCCTTCCACCTTCCATTAAACCTCGGCTTCGCCTCAGGCAGTTTAGTGTTTGATCTGAGCTTTTGCTTGGGCCTCATGGGGATTGGAGCTCCATGTTTGAACTAGGAGATTTTAGTCATTTGTCTCCTTCCTACCACTTAAGTGTGTTGGGTGGCAAGCATGTACAACACAGAGGTATCTTTTCTCCCTCTGTTACGATGGAACCCAGGATGGGGGACCCAATTCTCTAGAGAGAATCAGTTAATCCACACTGCATGTGTGGTTTAGGTTAATGCTGAAGTCAAGATCCTCCTGCCTAAGTCTCCAGGGAGCTGGAGTTACAGGCATGACCACCACACCCATCTAGCTCCAAAGTTTTGTTTAAGTTTCCATGGTAAACACTTAGAGTGCTGACTGTCAGGCCTTCTGCACATTACCAACATATAACACTGCATGTTATAACACTGGCAATAGTGTCAGTGTGTAAACTCTTAACCACCTTCCTTTTCTTTGTTGGGAAGCAGAAGTACAAGAGGGACAGAAAACCTAGTCAAGGCCACACAACAAGTAACTGGCAAAATGGATGTCCTAATTTCCCCTCACCCCCAGTCTCCTCCTCAGCTTTCCTGCTGCCAGCCAGAGCTCATGCCATCCTTTCTGATACAAGGTCTGGCTCTTGGGGACATCCTGATCATTCCTTTCTTGAGTTTCATATTCAACATTTCAGGAAACCCATTGCTTCCCTCCCATGCCACTGAGTCAATACAGAACTTTCCTCAACAGCCATGTACTCCAACCATTGCCCAGTCTACTCATTGGCTAGCTCCACAGAGCAGGCTTTCAAATGTAAGTCAGATCTTGTAGCTTACCCCTCCAAAGTCCAAGTTCTCACAAGATCCCACATCCTCTGTCCCTGGTCACCTCCCTGACTGTTGCTGTCTTCATCTAATCCTTTGCAGAGAGCTTCTGCTAGCCTTCTCAGTTTGCCTCAGATGTCAGAAGTCTCTGGCCTCAGGGTCTTACAACTAGGGCTCTTGGTTTGGAACTTTCCACTCTCCTCAACCCTCCTGTGTCCTCACAGTTAACCTCCTCACTATCCATGGCTCTACTCAGATGCCACCTTCTCAGTGTGTCCCCTTTAGTGTTTACCCTGGAGCCCACTCACCGAGACAGTACCAAACTCTGCCATTTAGTTTTCCCCTACCACATATATTATGTTTTAACATAGCATGGAATCATCTGTTTTCTCTTTATTGCTCATTCTGTATCCCCCACCCTCTGTCTACTGATGCACCCTAAGTTCCTAGAGCGGAACATCTTACGATCAACAACTGTTTGTTGAGTAGTGAACAAATGGACTTGTATCTCAAATATTAGGGTGGTGATAATTTTCTTATAGACTAATAGAACAATCTCAAGTGAAAAGGAAGCAATGCAGAATATAATGGAAGGTTGTTTTAATCAAGAGTCTATTGAACAGGAAACTTAGTGACATAATCGGACAAAGGCAATAGGAGGTGTAGATGGAGGTTGGAGTGAGTTGAGAAGATACAGTGAACTTTCCCCAGGAATTATTTAAAGCTTGCAAAACATTGGTAAGGCTACTCCTTCTTCTTCAGAAACTCAAATTTAAATTAGTAGTCTTGTATTTTCATACCACAAGCTAGGTCAGTCCTAAGATTGTTCGCTTTCCAACTTCCCTTGTCCTTGTGGACTATTTGTCTGTGGTGTGGTCAGACGTAAAAAAAATTTTTAGCTCCACAGCATGGAGAGTGCTTCTAGGCAGGAATTAGGAAGGACAGTCATGTCCCTCATGAAACTCGGCTTCTTGTGCATTTACAAGGCAAATCATTTTTACCTCATTTGGCTTTAGAGCACAACTGCTATCTCTCATTTACCTGTGACACTACTAAGGAAACAACACCAGTTACTAAAGAATACTACCAACGTGTTTCCCAGTGGCTAACCAGGAAGGACCTTTGTCAATATACTCACTTCATTGCTAGAAAGATCTAATGGAGGGCATGCACTTAGTTAAAGAAAGAAAATATACAAATAAAGGTGGTATTAGGAACACTCCTATTGGGGGATGGGTTCTTAAGATGAGTGAACTGAGCCCCAACTGCCCAGGTAGGCTGAGCTTTGAGAAAGTGACCCTGGTCAGAGGGACTTCATAGGCCCAAGTGTTCCCTGTCAAGTCTCCCTTCCCCAAATTATCTCCTCAAGAAGGCCTTGGGTTCAACAACACCAGGGTTCATGCTCAGTCTATGTAGCATGGGGTGAAGGCATCACACATATACTCCCTCTCTTTTAAACATACGGTTTTGATTCATTGGGCATCACATAAAACAACAACAACAACAAAACCCAGATCCTCAGGTGACTTTAGGGTAGCCAGAAATGAAAACTGCTCGGAGGATCCATGTGGTAGGAGCCAACAGAGAATACTTTGTGTCCTTCGATCTCTCTCTCTGACTTCATCAGTTTTCCATTTTCCTGTAGTTTATTTCTACAATCACATAAACAAGTTTCCAATTTTCCCATCCTTAAATAATAAATCCTCTATAAATTATATACCTTTCTTTAGTTGGTACCCATTTACCGCTCCTTAAAACAACACAAAGCCAAACACCAAAACTCTTTAAGACACATTTTCTATGTTGCCCAGTTCCTTCCTGTCTCCCTGGTCATGCGTATCTGACCCGGGGCCTACCCTCACTACAGCCAATCGTATCACCTGTGCAGGCTGATACAACCAGGGCTCCTTCCCAATACCTGGGACAGACAGCCTGAGGACCTGACACATGTATCACAGACACAACCCAGTTGGCATGAGGGCTCAATGGACAGAACAAAGAATCAGAAAACACTTCTTGTTTGACGTTGGAGATGACTGGGGTTTGGGAAGAGCAGTTGAAAAGATAAAATGGCGATGAGGTGGGAGGTTCTGACTTACACAGTGTGTGGTGGTGATGATGACGGAACTGGAGATGAAGGACAGGCCATCGTTCATGCTGACCTGCAGTGCAGCTTTCCTGTAGTGACAAGAGAACCAGATACCCTTAGCATGCAGTGCTGCGAGCAATGGCTTCAGAGCCAGACAGAGCTTGGTTACTTCCCTGTGGGGCCTGAGAGTCTTCCTTGCAACATAGAGAGGACAGTCTCAGGGCCACACACCTGTGACATCCAGGAGATGCTGGGATGTGCCCAGCTGATGTGTCAAGGCAGGATGTTAGCTTTGCATTGCAGTGAACTGCAATGGACAAGGAAACTTGTCTCTATTTGACCTGTTTGCTATACTCTGTGATAAGATAAAGTTAGCTTCCTTCCTTCCTTCCTTCCTTCCTTCCTTCCTTCCTTCCTTCCCTTCCTTCCTTCCTTCCTTCCTTTAACTTTGTCAAGCCCTGGCTGTCCTGGAACGCAGCACTGGAGAGCAGGCTAACCTTGAACTTAGAGATCCACTTGCCTCTGCCTCCTGAGTTCTGGGATTAAAGTTGTACACTACTGTATCCCATTGGATAAAGCATTCTCAAGAGCCATCCAAGTCAAGAGGGATAATTGAACAAACTGTAGGCTGCATGTTCAGCTCTTGGTAATGTGGACTCAGTGATCTGATGCAACAGAATTGTGGGCCCTGTAAGACTCATGGAAATACAGCCATGGACAGATTTGTTTGTCTTCTCCAAGCTTCCGTCCATCAAGTCTCACTGAGATAAGAACTCATGTCATGCTATATGATTTTGGGCTAGGTAGCATGACCCAGTGTCATGATCTGACTGCAGACACCCAGTTGGAACAAATGATGAAAGAAGACTTTAATGTTTGCCTTGGAAGCCATCTCCTGACTGGTAGGCATGGTTCTGTTCTCTGTAACATTTTGGGCAATCTGTGCCCCATAGTTCTACCCAAGCTCACGGTGTTGACTCTCTTTCATGGCCATCTCGCCAGCACCTATTTTAATGGCATCATGAGATGTCCCTGTGAGATCAGGGAACACAGGCCAACACCAGGGCTCTGTGGAGGACTAAGAATGGTGCTGAAGGTCATGAACCAACCATGACACTTCTTTTGCCTAAGTTTCCTTGTCTTGAAGGAACAGATAACAGCCACTTTCCAGGACACAGATGATGACAGGGTGAGGTAATACATGTGAAAACTTTCTAGAAATGTGGTTGAGGTTGAGTCAGCAGACCCAGGCTGGAGCCCAGATTCTGTGTGACCCTGAGCAAGGTATTCCAACCCTTCTAGCTGGCCTGCATGGGAGTGTCCCTTCTGCTGTGAACCTCAGCTGGCCTGCATGGGAGCGTCTCCTCTGTTGTGAACCACAGAGGACGTTCAATCACACTCCTGGTGACTGCTTTGCCACAGCTTTGTCACCATTGTCACTGGCAGAGGAAGATTCCTCAATGACAACAACAAAAGATATTGCTGCCCCCTCTATCCCCTCTGCCTTCTCTTCCCGGGCTGTAGAGCTCTGTGGCTGATGAAAACTTACATGCCAACTTCTTTCAAGACGGGTGCTGGGCACAGCAAGTAAGTGTCTTCCACAGCAAAGGGCTTCTCATCTGAAAGAAGGAAGTCACAAGGTTATGCTTTCCAATTCTGCATCTTTGGAGGTCATCAACCAAGTCCAGAGGGACCTGATGAAAGCAGAGAACTGTGTGAAACAAAAACTCCTCTTGCACTGAGTTATGGTTGGAATATCAAATGTCCCTGGAGGGCTTGCTATTGCAACCAAGTACCATGCTGGTGGGGGTGGGGCCCAGCTGGGGAAGCAGTCACTGAGGGGTTGTGTCTAAGGCTAGATATTGCCATAGCCCTTCTGGTATCTCTCTCCTCTTTCTGGTAGTGTACTCCTTATCTCCATTTCTCTCTCTTCTCTCTTCTCTATCTGTCTGTCTGTCTGTCTGTCTCTGCCCATGTCCCACCCCGCCCTCCTTGACTGCCAAGAGGTGAGGACCTTTCTTCCTTCACCCCTTTCAACGCTATGGACTGAAATGTCTAAGAACTGATTGCTGTCCTTGTTTACCTCGTGTATTTGTCAGAGCAGCAGAAAGCTGACATATGTGCTAGACACCCCCCCCCACAGTAGCACTCCAACGTGTAGAGCAGCGTCCACTAGATGAGAACTCAAGGCCTCTTTCCTGATGCTAGTCTCCTGGTCCCATGTCCAGCTGAGATAGCCCTTCAACATAGTTTGAGTTTCTTTTTCTCTTAGGGATAGCTGAGGGGTTCTAAGGAGATACACATCTATATCCAGTTTGAGAGAGGCCATCTTCAGGGAGAAAATGTGCAGGCAAACAAAAGCAGGTACACCAAGTATCCTTGGGTTTTAGAAGACAAGCAGCTTCCTTTCCATGACCTTGTGGTCAGGTTTCAGGAAAATCTAAACAGGAATTGTACTTTATTGGGAAAATTGGGGAACTAGGAAGGGGTGGGTCCTGGCTCAGCCCTAGGGTAGTGTGCCCTAGGTTAGAAGGTCAGCATGCATTGTAGGGACTGTAGAAGAAAGTTATTCAATACTTTCATCTTTAGTACAAAGTATAGCCCTTGTGAAGGCAGCTAGTAATAAAGTACTATTGTGCAAGCATGAGGTCCCAAGTTCAAATCTCCAGCATCCACATGAAAGTCAGGCAGGGTGGTGGGCACTTGAAATCCCATTGTTGAGGAGGTAGAGGCAGACAGATCCCTGGAGCTCCCTAACTCACCAGACTAGTTGAATCACTGTTTCCTTCTTGGATGGCATGTAGGCAGATGGCTGCAGGGTCTAGGTGCCTATCCAATAAATAAGCTGTTTGCCACCTTGATAGCACTCTGCTAGTGACATCCTAGGAAACCAAGGCAGCGAGGGATCTTGGGTTTTCTTCCCTACCACTAGTGTATGTGTTGTCTTCCTCTATGGTTCTCCATTTTAGTTTTTGAGATGGGTTTTCTCAGTGAAGCTGGGTCTTCCTGATTCAGTAAGGCTGTCTGGCCAGCCCTCGTTATCCTGGCTCTACCTCCCCAGTGTTGGACTGATGATAGGCACATGTTGCTGTGCCCAGCTATTTATTTCTGGTTCCTATATGGGTGCTTAGGGATTCAAACTTGGGTCCTCATGCTTCTGTGGAGCACCTTACCAACTGAGCCACCTCCCCATCCCAGAGTTATTTTTCAGATGCAAAAATGGAAGTTCAGCTGCACAGCAACAGAAGCAAAGCCAAGTTCAGACCCAAACTCTGCAGCATTCTGTCTTTGCTGCAGGGAAGTCTGTCTGAAGGAAGAAGCCTTAACTGCCAGGCATGGCTGACTAGAACCATGCCTGACTAGAACCTGTACTTATTTCCTTGTGGCTGCGGTTTTATCCACGACTTTTGCACACAGTACCTGTGGTGCAGCCCCATCCACAGAGCCACAACAGGCAGCCATAAAATGGCCTTGTGACTCTAGGCTGCATGCCGTGGTTAGAGCTGGAGGGCTTCTGAGGTGGCCATTTAGGCAGTCAGAGCCCTGCAAGGGCTCCACACATTGGTCCTGTGAGCTCCTGTCTCATCTCCCTGTCCTAGCTAACAAGGGCCAGGGGCGGGAAGTGGGAGGCAGACCTCAGCCTTGGCAGCAGGCATTTCTAGTTCTCCTCCTCTTTTCATCTTTCTTTCCCGGTTGGGAGACCAAATATTTCTGGGGCAAAGCAGCCGGGAGGATAGAGGGCTGTGGCTGCTTGGGGGTACAGCTCTGATGTCCCTGAGGTTGAACCCAGGCTGGAAGGCTGTGGCCTAGCTCTGAAGAGCTGGCATTTTCTGCTCTGAGAGGGACTGTTTGGTTTGGAGACTGTTTTCACTTTACCACAAAAATGAGTGGCTTTTTTCCCTCTCTCTCTAAACAAAGGAGGGCCATTTGGTTTCCATAATTCAAGTCATCTGACTCTTTCCTGGAACGGCCACTTGGGAAGCAGGGCATAGACTCAGTCCTCTGCCACAGAGGGGCCCGTGCCTGCTTTGGGGGCCATGCCAGCCTCACTGTAGCCTCTGCCAATGCCAGTGTGTTGCGCTGTTTATGGGGCCACGGTCCATTCTGAGGACAATGCAGGATCTGCTTCTCTGCTCACTGGGTGGCCATTTCACTTCACCACTCACTGGCACCAAGTCGGAAATGGTAATGGAGACCAGGAGCTTGGGGCACTCTGCACGGTTGCGTTTGCAACCAGGGAGAAAATTAGAGAGGGGTAGGCGTTGGAGACCAGAGGTGGTCTTCTTCTTCTTGAATTCAAAATACAAGTATTTAAGGATTCTAAGCACACCTATGACATATTAGCCTAAATCCTTTGTCACAGGAGTCTGATAATCAGACAGAAATTTGACTTAAGTTAGACATGTAAGTATCAATGACTGTCACTACATTGATGTGCTGAATGCAATCTGGGAGGCAGACATCCTGGGAGCTGGTTACAGGTGTGAGGAAGACAGAGGAGATGCTGGCCCAACAGACTCAGGTTCAAAACCGAGGTTTTCTCTGTGTAACTGGGGTCAGGTTCATGGTAACTATGACATCATTGCGCTGTTGTGTGCAAATAAGTAAGAATGAATTAAAGCACAAAGTACAGTATGTGAGGTTCAATAAGGACTCCAGAAGCTTCCCTCCACTTTATCACATGACACCCAAGACTTTACAATCCACTGCAAATGCGAGGACCACAACTTTCAAAACGCCTGGTTGCTTATTCACATTTTCTGGCCATACTAACATCGTTTAGACATTAGGAGTTATGGAGAAGTTTTGTGTGTGTGTGTGTGTGTGTGTGTGTGTGTGTGTGTGTGTGTGTCTAAATAAATATGAATAAGGGTTCATCCATCCTTTGTATACACACAAACGTGTTTATGATGATTTTGTTCAACACTGAACAGCCATAGTCTTATAAAATGTTTCCACACTCATCCAGAAGGGAAATAGATACTAGTACAATAGTTTGGTGGTCACAAATGCTAATTATCCCAAATGCTAGTTAATTGAGTTGGTGCTACACTACCAGAGTGGTCAGAGCTGGAATTTGAATCTTTGTTTGTTGAAATGAATAGGCAAAACTGGCCCCCAGCAGTGAGCACACCTTTCAGGGCAGAGGATGAGGGGTCCAGTACCATAGCGAGCCTCAGGAGTCTCCATGGAAACCCGTGGCCTCAGGAGTCTCCCTAGAGTCCCTGCTATAAAGGCAATGAACTAAGAATCTGCAATCACACAAATGAGCCCGTCTCAGGGTTCTAATCTCACAACAACATAACATTCTTCAGGTTGGGGGAGAGGATCCCAGTACTCTTCCCTACAGTTTGGTGACTGTCTATGGATTTGGGATAAAACCAAGATTAAAATTCGTTAGCCAACCCAAACAACAATCAGTGCGTTCTTTTAAGACTGATGAAATAATTCGAATCCTTTTCAAGTCTTGGCAACTTTTCCTGCTATAAATGTGTGTTCTGGCACAAATAAACAGAAAAATAGTCCCTAGTCTTATCTAACTCTCAAAGAACTGACATAAGCCCCTGAAAGGAGTTTACATTCCTGCTGTGCTATTTGCACGAGGCAGGAGGACTGAAGAGCTAGCTGGGCTGCAGACTGTTGCTCTCAGAAACCCCCTGGGTCTAGGAAGCATTTATGAGGCTTTTCTGAGCCAAGTAAAAGGGTTCAGTACCAAATTATCAGCTGCTTTGTCAACACTGGTCCAAATTAAGGGGGAACAGAAGTTAGCGTTGGGCTAAACACCTCCCTTGGTCTCTGCCTTCAAGAGCTAACAGTTTTGAGGGAAATTACAGGCAGGGAAACCCTAAGTTGGTGAAATTCAAAACATCTGGGTTGAGCTTTATGGAGCCAAAGGCTGAGAAGAGGTGGCCAAGTGTCTAGCTGCCTCAGTTATCACTTATGAACCATGCCATTACTTTGAACTCTGAGCACAGTCTGGGAGGCAGGCATCAACGGTGCTCACTGGGACCCACTACTGAGAAGAGGAGGGGTACACTACAGGGCAGTGTTGAGTGTGGGCCCTACGCTGGAAGGTTTTCATAGATGGGGACAACAGCTCAGGATTCTAACAGAGGACATCAGTCCTGCTTTATGGGACAAAGTGGAGACTGTAAAAGTAGGGCGTGACTTCTACTGAGAAAGGCTGAGCAGTAACGGTGAAGTCAAGGGAAAGAGGAGTCAAAACCCAATGTGGGGAGCACCGTAACTGCATGTGGGCCAAGACTTCAGAACCTCATATGTGTCCCTCACTGTAATGTCCTCCTGTGCTCATCAGGAACCAGGGGGACACCTTCCAAGAGGTAGAAGTGGGAGCCCAACCTTGTGCTTACACATGACCCAGAGCTATCTAACCCCCCAGGCCTGGAGCTGGAGGGTTTCATGGAGCCCTCAATAGCCAGATGCTGTAAGACCAGAGGATGGGTTTGGCCACAGGTCCTGGATCAACAGATGACAAAGTCAGTCATTCCAGCACATGGGTCTCCAGGGTAAGGCTCTGCTCGCTATGTCTCCATCCTGTTCTGTGGGGCAGACTGGAGCAGGACAGAGTCATAAGCACATGAAGAGCTGAGCTGCAGAG